TAAATATTAAAATACAGTTCTTCAGTCATATCAAATCAAAATCATAAAACCATTCACCACGGCATCCATACACAATTCAATCCTATATAATTTAGTATTTACCTAGGACGCGTAATACAAATATTCCAACTATGTAATTTAGGGATCGTTACTCTCGCAATTATTGTATTGGTATTCGTATTAAATAAATTAATACTAGGAAGAGGTGAAATGGGTGAAATCAATTATTAATCGAGTGTTACTAAAATATTAATTGCTTGAAATTCGAGTCTGCATTACAGTGTTTATAGTGACTGACATATAATCAGTCACAGTAGTTACAATTGTGAGCGTTTGAAATTTAATAGTCGAGGAAACTTCCTCATAAAACTTCAATGTGCTTGAAAAACAATCGTTTGTACATTTTTTGCGGATCACAAAAACGCAGTATTAATGACTTATATAATAATATGACGATTGACAGTATATTATATGGACGGTATGAAAATAATATTTTTGAGTGTGCTGAAACGAACCTTAGCTCTTTGTTACGAAACTATAGTTTATGTAATATTAAATTCATTCCTCATACCTTGCGCAGGAGATCTATCGAAATTGTCTCGGACCCAAGTATCAGCATCATTGTATAGTGTCCTTTGATTTCTGATTCGTAGTTGAGCACCAGGGAAAACTCATGGCCGACAAAATCATTAGCCAAAAGATATGAACATTGGCCCTTAAAGTCGTAATGCCTCTGGTCGAATGTCACAAAATGCTGTGAACCGACTATCATCGCATGAGCTGCAACAAGCACGCAATTGCGCAACAAGTTAAATAGTAAAACAGAACCAGTAAGTATATATAATATTGTAAAATGGATTAGTTTATGCCTGATTGGAAAACGGATGGTATCAGTGGTGAACAAATATTTCAAATTTATTTCATAGTTAGAATATTTTTAGAGGTGGTCCCATAAGGCCATCAAACACTTTTTCCGATACCTATTCAATATTCCGATATATCGTGATATATTGTTAATATAAAATCCAACTTATATTTTAATTTGTTGGATCCATGAACCAATCAATCCAATCGAATCAAAAAAAAAAACCAATCAATCGGATCAAAATCTAATATCCTATTTTTTACATATACCTAATGATGTGATTTAAGTCATAATATAAATAAGTCATATATGGTCATAATATGTGACTTATCAATATATCTTGCATTTCTGCAAGGATTATTATCAATTCAAATCATAACCTTGCCGGTAAACAATATTATTTGACACGTAATTTACGCATTGTATTTAAGCAGGTACCTACCAAGATAATATTTTTAATAGATCTGAAAATATTAATATCAATATAACCTCCGTATTATTATATGTAAATTTATATGCGATGCGTATTATATTGGGATTAAAAAAATATATATAATAATAAATAACCTACAGTAGGAGCATAATGTACAGACAGAACAAATATAATGGTTTTTAGTATTGGTCCAATACTTCATATTTAAATATTTTAAATTGAATATCCGTATCCCAAATAATCATTACAGTTAACTAAACWCCACTCATCACATACCTGTTACGTTTACTTACATTTGTATTATCTAACTACTATTACTAAGAAATTTTTGTTTCTTCAAACTTCAGCCTATATCAATTGATGAACAATTTTACTTTTGTGTAAAAAACAAGTTCACGTAAGTGTTAATTGCTAAAAAAAATTAAAACTCAACGAGTCTAAATGCATAAATTCTGTTAAACGTTTGTACAGTTTTACCATTTTGGTAAGAAGGWATAGTCACTAATTAGTAATTAATTATAATTTTTRTTTGGGTTGGTCAAAATGTTCGATTATTTCTGATGCGTTTATACGGCAATATTCTCAATAATGAAAATGTCACATGTGACATATTGCATCTAATACAAATATTGTACGTAATTTAGGTAAATAAATAATTTTATAAATTATGTATGTTTAAAACGTTTCCGATTCGATCGTTTGAATTTAATAAGGTATTACCAACACATTTACTAACTATGCTTGTATTTTTCTGTCAAAACCATTTTTATACTATATAATATTTTAAATATTGTTATCTATTGTAGCATAATTGTTACTTATTACTAATTATTATACTTAATACGCAATATATAGCAGAGCATATTTTAAGTAATTTTCACTGGGTGGCACTTCAATAAAATTGTCTACCAGAGGAACATAGAAAGAAAATCAACTCTCCTATCTCAAAAATTTTGATATAGGTTTATTAACTGTACTTTACTGAAAAATACATCTACAAGTTATATATAGATTTATTTATTGAGAATTCGAGATATTATTATTTTATCAAAAAAAACCGATTTTTCAATAATAAAACTTTGATAAAATAAGTAGAACAGAGTATATATATTTCTATCAGTATCTGTATTAAAAAAATACGTGTTAAAATTTAAAATTATATGTTTGAATCTATGGAAAAAAATGTTTGTATAAATTCTTGATTCTGGTATAGCTCTGGGTCAGGTAGTTTTCTTCTTTTCTCTTTAGATTCC